AATCACAACAAGGAGCCCTAAAGCGGTGTAGGACTAGGGTATTGATATTGGGTACAGGCAGATGCTGGAACGTGCCAGATGCTAGGGTTTAGGGTTTAGGGTTTAGGGTTTAGGGTCTAGGGGTCTAGGGGTCTAGGGTTTAGGGCTTAGGGGTTTAGGGGTTTAGGGTTCAGGGTTTAGGGTTTAGGGTTTAAAGGGTTTAGGGCTTAGGGAATATGATCCGAATACCCATCAAGAAACTCGGCAACTGAACATGATGTGTTGAAACGATTTGCTATTTGAGCTCCGTCTCCTCCTGGATTTCCTTCAGCTTCGCTGTAACCTCAGACGCACCGCCCGCCGCGGCGACAGCTTCATCAAAGCTCTCTGCGAATTTCAGCAGGCCGTTGATCTTTGCATACTGGCCTCAAGACTTCAGAGAAAGAAAACCAATCCAATTTAGGGTTTAGGGCTTCGGGCTTGGGCTTAGGGCTCATGAATCCCGTAAGCCAGTATAAACATGTTTGTAACACTCATTAAACCATTTTTTATAAACACGGTTTGCACCCTTATGCTAGGTCTTCTCCAACCTTCTCAAGCTTTGTATAGCCAGCCTGATTCCCTAAACCCTGCACCCAAAACCTAAACCCTCACCTGTCGGCAAACAAGTTTGGTCCCGGGCACTTGCATTGACTGCGGCCTGGAAGGAGTCGCACATCCGCTGGCAGGTTTTGTCACTGACTGCTTGCCTTGGTCCACAGGCTCACTTGGAGGATCATGGGACTTAGTAACTAGGGCTATAAATAAGGTAGCTATAATTATAAGCAGTTATAACCCCAATGAAGGTAGTTATAACCCTACTTACTAAGTCCCATGATCCTCCAAGTACCACTGTAAGGGCTCAGGGTTCAGAACTTCCTAAACCCTGAACCTTAAACCCCTTTAAAAACCCTAAACCCCTCAACTCTAAACCCCACGGCTTTCCATGAGGTTTTGCAGCTCAGCCGCAGTTTGGAGCCCAAACCATCCTTACTTCGCCAATAAGCCAGGGAAATAAAAGGCTAAAATTTCAGATTACTACTAAGTTATAAGAACCCAAAACGTTAGAAGGTTGGGTATTGGGGAACCAAGTATCAATGCCA